TGGGTCCGGAATGGTGAAAATGTGCGATTTCAATGCATTTTCGGCCTTAAAGCGGCCGCCATTTGGCTATCGTTAATGGGATCATGAAACAAATGCACATACATATTTGTGACATGATGTACCTTGTGTGTGTGAAGTTTGAACTTGATCAATCCAGACATGTCTCGGATACAGATCCAGAACTGAATTCTTTAAAACAAAATGGCCGCCAGTCGGCCATTTCGAACTTGATCTGAAAAAAAAATGACGTGCATCAAGGTCCTATTATGTTTAATGTATGTACCAAATTTGAATGAAATCCGTCCATGCATAACTGAGATCCGGGTCCGGAATGGTGAAAATGTGCGATTTTGATGCATTTTCGGCCTTAAAATGGCCGCTATTCGGCTATCGTTAATCGGATCATGAAAAAAATGCATGTGCATATGTCCCATATAATGTGTGATGTATGAGTGAAGTTTGAACATAATCGGTCCATGCATGTTCGAGATACAGGTGATCACGGACGCACGAACGGACGGACGCACACATGGCAAAACATAAGTCCCCGTTTTCGGACTCCGTTCGAACGGGGACTAATAAATATTCCATGAAATATGGGTTTAGTATTTGTACATTCATGTTATATCAGTTTCTTCAAAGATACCACATCTTGAATTCAACAAGTCTGAATGAAATGCAGTACAAAATAAACCTGGGTGTGCAGAGAATGACACAAGTTATATCTGACATGTTGTGTAACTTATTTAACCTGATAAAATGTGAAATTTATTTATTTGCAGGTTTTTTGTTTTATAACTTTATAGGAGTGCAATGTCCTATATCCACTACCGGTATATTCTATACCCTTAATGCAAATGTCCTATATCCACTTTTTCCCTATGATGCATTGCGCAAAACTGTTCTAAAAATTAAACACATTAATATTTTTGATATTAAGACTTTGTAGGCCGGGATTCCACTTGATGGTCTTTTTGAAGTTTGTATGAAATATTAGCAAAATGTGAAGCCATCAGTCGGTCAGTGGGAGGTAATAGTTATTGCGTCCTCATAGTTGGATTCACTTAATTCAAACTTCCCTTGAGAAAATACGGACATTGAATACACCATGTCAATTGTTGTATTTTAACATAAATACTATGTGTCTATTTCTTAAATATACAGTGAATGGCAGAAAGATGTATCTTAGTTTATTAATGTAAACAATTGTAAATAAGATCCTCGCTTTTATTCAAATTGTCAAGACCTAAAAAATATTTTCTATTTAGTTTGGGCGAATTACTTATTTCACCACTGCACAGCACCCTCTGTTGACAAAATCTTCAAAATTTGTATGCAAACTTATTGATATTGTTTTCAGACTGCAAAGTGGGGATTTCCCTAGTAAATTCAGCGTACATAATATCCCTTTCATCAGTATAGTAGCTACAGTCTGTAATAAATTGAACTTTGTCTTCAATACTGTCACTCCTACACTTATCACAAATCTTGTTCTCTAGTGGGATTTTAGGTCTGCCTACTTCTATTTTGAGTTTGTGACAACTAAGTGAGTAGTCTCAATTGAGACAGTAATCTAATATCTTGTCTATTATTTAACAGTTGTAGGTATTTAGCTGGACTAATATCACCTTTAAGTAGATCTGAGTTTTGGTCTCTTGATATTAATCAACACATCAGTATAATAGTTTTCTGATAGAGTACATTAGTAGAAACAGTCAAAAGATCAATATTGTACAGGTCTTTAATTTTGTTAATTCTTCTAACCATAGCAGTGGTTTTCAAATTCTCTAACAGCATGGAAATTAAAATTAATAGGACCATTGTTTTTAATGTTTTGGTAGTACTTGGCAGCTTGAATCTTTGAAATTAAACGTAGCCTGCCAGTTTCAAGCCTACAACCTATTCTACTTTTATTATTGTTCAAAATGTGCCTGCAATATTGTAGGTAGAATTTTTCAGTAACAGTGGTGTTCCACTTTTCTGTTTTAACTGATATACCCTATAACTCAAATGTGTTTAGTAGAATAGGCAACAGTAACATTTCAAAAAGTTTGGCTTTAGAATTACCATAAATATTAGCTATCAATCGTTCTGCTTTTCTAGCCTTATTCAAGAGTCTCTCCATAGTTTTTTTTAGGGATCCATTTCTGCTTAATGTCTTGGTATGGTTTAGTGTCATGTCACCATAAGTTAAAAATGGATCATCTGATTTTACGAAACATCATAGTCTGGGTCTTAGTGGTGTTGACTTTCAAGTCCCAATTAGTAGTATAATTTTGAAGTGTGTTAAGTAATGACCGTAATCCACTCTTAGTATTCAAGAACTACATCTGCAAATAATAAACTAGATATTTTCATCTAGGTCATTAGTAGTCTTGTTTAATATTTCAAGTCATTAATTAAAGCAGGGGAGTAGTTACCTGTGCATGCATCAGATGGCCATAGCGTGTCATTGTTTACGAACAAGTGTCTACCCATGAGACTTTGAGTTTTTATCGTGCTTGGAACTCAATTCCTGCACGTGCACAGGTGACGACCCTCCCGGTTTCAAATAAAGTATGACTAAGAGGGCATCCTTGTTTGACTCCATTGACTGTAGAATTTTTCAGTAATAGTGGTGTTCCACTTTTCTGTCTTAACTGATATACCCTATAACTCTATAATAATATAATATTAGTTAAATTTTTGGCTTTTACACTGATATCGTAAGTACTAATTATCCAATTTCAATGAATCTTGGTACATAGATGTTCTAGTACAATGCACCATAGACCTTAGAAAAGGTCTATGAATGCACAGACTTTAGTTTTGGGTTAAAATCAATGCATATTAATTACCTAATTTGCATAGTTAGCCAATTTTCAGCTTTCACAGTGATATCACATATACTTATTATTCCATTTCAATGAAACTTGGTACATTGATGCTCTAGAACAGTGCACATCCCTGCTCAATTTTGGGTTAAAGTCAAATCATATTAATTAATATCTAATTTGCATAATAATTCATAATTTGTTGGTGCCCTGAAACAATATGCAGACATAAGTATGCATAATAATTGCTTAATTTGTATAATAATTCATCTGGTTCATTGCGATAACCCACAGACAGGATTAGTTTAATGATGATAAACATGCATATTGATTATCTTATATTAGCCCATTTCTGCTATCTAAAAAAACATGGATGAAAATTCAAATGTATTTTCTGTATGTATTATAAATTTTGATAATGTGAATCACATTGTTTTCATGTTGTGCATCTCAAATAGCAGACAAATATTAGTTGCCAAGCTTCTCATTTAAAAAGCAAATCTTAAATTTAGAATTAATTTTAATGTGTCTCCAATACTTTCAGCACACAGGAGTTTTTTCTAAGTTTTCTTTGATTTTAATTCCTCTTAGTCATTAGTGAGGAAAGTGACCTAATGTGTTGTAATCAACTCGAAAAGTAATTGGTGACAACATTAACACAGTCAAGAAAGGTTCACTATAATTGAGATACAATGCATCGAAAAATGATTATTGTCACAGTGTAAAGCCTGCTGTAATGCTATCGAGAAGGACAAAACTTGCACTAGACAGGGGGTTCTTTCACTGCTAGAATGGGGTAGACAAGACAATAGTACTAGAAATGAAATACACATACACCAACATATAAAAGTTAAAGCTCAAAGCTTTAATACAAAGCACAGAATAATACAATACATAAATTCACTAAAATTCACTCAGTGCCAGGATGTGGAAATGGATGACAGTCAATGGCTTCTGCAACACAACAACGAAGAGATACAGGAGTCTTGCTTACAGAGAAATGTTGTTATTCTGGAGAGCATTGTTGATAGCAGGAGATCGCAGAGCAGTTCATACAAGTCTCATAGAATGATGACTGAAGCCTGTATCACTTGTCTCACAATATCTCATCAGCAACACACAGAGTACTCACCACAACTGTCCTCAATCTCACCAATTGATAGGCAAAACTGGCCCAGATTCAGGGACACCACCTGGGTTTCCACATGAGCCAATCAGAATGTGATCTTGCTAGCAGCTGTCTCACGTAGGCAAGTCAGTAGATTGTAAACATTCTTTGTTATGTTAACCACACTAGTACACCTGGTAGATTCCAATTGTCCTTCCAGAGTTGAAAACAAGTATGACCTGTCAATCACCTTTGTCCTGTTTTCACCAACACATGAACAGAAATATATACTGTAGAATACTTTATTTTCGCTTGGAATTTATTTTCACTATTTTCACTGAAAGGATGATTCCGTGAAAATAAAATCCAGCGAATATACTTTTCCCCTATATTTCACATTCAACTCATCAAAAATCAGTAAAAATAAATTCCATACAAAACGCCCAAAAAGCCGTTTTAGCGAAAATTAATTCCAGCGAAAATATAGTATTCCACAGTAATTTATTTACAGACTATTAAAAAGCAGTAAATACTAGATTTACAGTCTCATGTTGCCGCCAAGATTTAAAAGTATACATTTAAGAACGTAAGAGATGCGTTTATCATACGCGCATCATAATCCAAACATTTTAATAATTTTTTTTTTTTTTTTTTTTTTTTATTATTATACAATTAACAATACATGAAAAGGAAACAGAACTAAAAGTACAACACAATTACAAATACAACAAAGTATCAGAGTAAGGTAAAGAACATTTTAATAATTTTTTTTTTATTATTATTATACAATTAACAATACATGAAAAGGAAACAGAACTAAAAGTACAACACAATCACAAATACAACAAAGTATCAGAGTAAAGTGAAGAACATTTTAATAATTTAGATTTGTAATCTTTTCCTAGTTCATTTGATATGTAATTTTTTTCACTACCAATTTAAAAAAAATATTTAATAACTACACACTTAATAAGTTTATAGGACAAGAAATCTTACCCTCCATGTGGGCCAATTCGAAACCTTTTCTCACATATTGTGCCTATAAGCCTATAATCACCCCCTCCCCCCTTATGTTCCTGTTTGTTTGTTTTTATTTGTTTTTTTTGTAGAAATTAAAAATTGCAAATCATACCTCAAATAAATCAGATGTTCTTTAGTCCCCGTTGAAATTCATAATCCTGTGATTTAAATTTTCAGTTTTGTCTGTCTGTTTTTAATTGTTTTCATTTAAGTAATCACTATTTATTGATTAGTAAAAATTGCAATCAATAGCTTCAAAATATTACCCATGACGCACACCAGCACCAGGGCATACTGTTGCTAATAACACAATATATTTTTTTAACCAAAGTTTTTGTTGATCTTTTCTGTGAATAAACTAATAAAACTTGAATTTAAGGGTGGATTCATAGATCTCAATATTTTTTACAAAAAAGGACAATAAAAACATGTTGACAAATTATGTTGTAATTACAGGCGACTGAAGATAAATTCAGAATTTTTCACTTGAATATCTTATTAGACAATAAGTAAGTTTTTTCGGTAAATAGGCTGATTCTTGTTTCAATTTTATGACAAAATCTTTAAATTTATTTATTTCACTAATTTTTAAATATAAACAGTATAAACAAAGGTGGCATCAAAATATCATGTGTAATTCAACCAATTCAAAAGTTTTCTGCTGATATATCTCAATGCCATAATTTTCTCTGAAAGATAAGCATTAAACTATTAAAAATCAAATTCAAGTTCAAAATAAAAACAATTGATTTTTTCGAGACACATGTTCAATCGACATCTTTCACGTAATCAATACGTCAAATCTCACAGTAAACAGGAAATAGTCTATTGAATTCTGAATTTTTCATTTGCACATGTAACTAGACAATTGCTGTAAAATCTGTATTAGAAACTGCGGCTTCTATTAAAATGGTACAATGCAACAGAGGGGATGCGGCTTCTATTAGAGCATCTATACATATGAGAAATAAGGAATTTGTGGTTCTCAATTGTTCTAAAAGAATGGGTGTGACTTCTATTAGGGATGCGGCTTCTAATACAGATTTTACGGTACTTATTAATTTCACTACTTCATATCATTCTGATTAAAGAGGATAAAAATTAGCATCATTTGCAGTGTATTTTACATAGATCAAACCTGCTATGTTAATAACTGAGTGAGAAGCAAACATATCAATATATCAGCTAAAAAGTTAGAAGAACCATAAAATCCATTAAAATTAGCATCCTAAAACTCTACTTAATTCATACTTCAACAATTTTGTTCACTTTTTGTTCAAGACGTTTTGGACATAGGATTCTCTGATATTGTTTTTCTTTGCCTTGGAGTTTACACAATGGCATTAGTGCATATAGGATTAGTGATACTATAATTTAATTTAATTAATCATAAATATAGCTCTATAAAAATAGATATTAGCTACTAATTGACCATTTTTGAAGAATTATGACAACATCATTTTGTACACATCATTATTCTAGCGAAAAACCTACGTAATATGATTTATATAATTTTGTACTAAAAAATCAGCTGCTTAGGGTTCTCTTTTATATGGCCGCCAAACGTCCATGTCCTCATTCTTATGAAAACTAATATTCATTATTGCTTTTCCTGGATAAAATTCAACATTTTCACAAAATGTGGAAACTGAAGCTTTTCATACATGTACACACTATGCATAAAAAATAACATTTTCTAAAATGGAAATTAAAAGTTTTTTTTTTTTAAAAAAAACATATTTCTCAACCTAAAGATCCACTTCACAGAAACAATTTTTTCGTAAGACTTGTAATTTGTTGAGGCATCTGTTTTGCCCCCTTCTCTGAACTAACTCTTTGCGCAACTAGAAGGTTAACAGTTGTCAATATCTCCACCAGGTGATCCTCACGATCCTCTCTGATCACATGACAAAAATGATGAATAAACCAAGATCCTTCGTCTTCATTACGCCACGCTTTGGTTCCTGTGATTAGAAAAAATTTACGTTTATAACTTCACATGATAAATCGTCTCGCCAAAATTTTGAAGCCACATTTTGATATACGGTACGGTACATCTTTCTTTTTTGTTAATTTTGGTCAAAAATTATATTTGTGAAAGATGACTTTGGCATACAAAGGGTTTCGAAAGCTTTAAATTTTTATTCTGAATTTGTTATTAAATTTCGATTTTTTCCTGAAATTCTGCAAAAAACAAACTTTTAAAAATCTGCGATATGCACATTTTTAACTGATACATTCCCAGATCAGATACAGTATTTTTTTTTTTTTTTTGGCCTTAATCTTTTCACCACCACTTCCCTCTTTTCATCACAAATTCACAAAATAGTTCTGTTTATAGTCTGCACTGTCCTTAGGATTACGACAAAAAATAGACAACATTTTTGAGCAAAAACTGAAAATTGACTCAAATTTTGTCTGTTGGCTCCAAAAATTGGGTTCATTTCCAGAAATTTTGAAGAATATACACATTTCTTGTTGAATAGATTATAATATGCCGTAATTTTGCAGTATCTGTATCCTACATTATCAGTAAATGGGAATGATAAATAAGGAACAATTAAAAGGTTTTTCCAGGATGGCAGGCATATTTAAAAAAAATAAATAGCAAGAAGCGTCCACTAATTTCCACCATGTTGCACAGATTTCGGGATGAGAAAGATGCCGAATAATAGGGTCATTGCAAGGATATTATAACAGACAATCATACATGTATGCTTGAATCAATTCAGCTTTGCGTTCATCCTCACCTTCACTGGTTGCATGAGCCAATAACATATCAGCATTGACCGGACGTGTTTTGAACGGTAATGATGAATATCCTTCATCCATTTGGACATCGCTTGTAGAGGATGGACCATCATCACTTTGATCACGTACTCCGCCACCATACTGTTTACCACGGCATGCCTGAATTATGAAGATTTTTGGTTTTCCAATGAATTCCGTTAGATTCTCACCATTGAATAATGTCATGATTTCCTCAGATGTTATAATTTCATTGTTATGTCCTGTTTTAATTCCGTCCTGTCAATGAAATAAATTGTACTTAAGACTGACATGGTATATAAATAGGCGTGGGTGGAGTCTATTATTCAAATGAAGTCGCCTTCACCCACATCAACAATGATGACTAAAAGCTCCACATAAACACAATAAACAGTGATTTCATTGCATTATATTTTCTATTTTTCAAACGTGAGTGGCGCCATGAATGTTCAGGGAAGCCATAAATAAAAATAGTAGTGAATTTGACAGCTAGACCATTTACTTTTTCCGGAAAATGGGTTTCTAAACCGTTTCAAATTTGCCGGCATTATAAGCTCTACTCACATCATTTTCAAAATGCCTACTTTGCATACGAGGTGAAATAAACGCCACTAGTGCGTTGTTAGAAAATACAATGGAATGAATTACAGGAAAGAAAATGCAAACGAGCTTTTTTGCAACGTGGGGCATGAGGTTGTCAAAACCAAACAAAATATAAAGCGTCTGTCTGAAAACACAGACGGTGGTTGAAATCAACTTGTCAAAGATAAACGGCATTCATAAGCCGCTCCTAACAATTTTGCCTGTAGTTATGATATATATGCACTCGATGTACCTTTTAATCAACAACCTTCGCCCACTGCGCTCATCGATAAAAGTCCACACGCTGGTGTGTGGCCGATCAGCAATCTCATTCCAATCACGGTTACCAGTAACCAATGTAGAATCGCTTGGAATGCACATGTCATGAAAAACATTCAACGAATTGTTGCGCTTTCCACATGACTGGTATCGAGGGCATGGACGTAGTATTCATTTTTTTAAATAACATAATTCTGAATAAATGAGTGAATTGGATTTACTGCCGCTGTGCTGGTTGGTAATACTGTGGAATACTTTATTTTTGCTGGAATTAATTTTCGCTGAAAAGGCTTTTTGGGCGTTTTGCTTGGAATTTATTTTCACTGATTTTTCATGAGTTTAATGTGAAATATAGGAAAAAAAGTATATTCGCTGGATTTTATTTTCAAGGAATCATGCCTTCAGCGAAAATAGAGAAAATAAATTCCAAGCGAAAAGTATTCTACAGTATGTTTTATTTCCAGCTTGTAGCGACGATGATTATTTTTATCTAATTTGGCAAGAAGCACCATAATATGATGTTTACATACAATTTTGTATGCGAAATGAGTACGTACAGAGTACATTTTGTCGTGAACTTGCTTGGCCAAGTTTTGCCGTGACTGCGCTTTGGGCCAAATTTCTTTCCATTCTTGTGTTTGACTAGACCGGCATAGTTTGCAATTCTTTTTAGTATGTCAACAACAACAAACAATAACCTGTGGTTGCGAAAGAAATCTTGAGCAGTTTCACAATTCTTATTTTCTCTGCCCTATGTCTGTGAACGACCTATCAATGCAAATTCAAAATTGCGTGAGAAACTAGTTGATGCTTTGTAGCAATAATGCAATGGGACTTGTTGTTTTCAACAAGAATTCAAAAATATCATTTTTCACCATAAATAATCATCAAAATTAGATAATTGAAGATATCATCATGAAATGAACAAATTTTTTACCAAAAATGACAAAAATATTTACCAAAATTAGAAAACTAAAGATATCATTACAAAATGAACAAATCTGAGAGAGGTCCACATGTAGTACCTATATATGTAATATCAAAGTAATTGGACTTGCGGTTTTTAACAAGAAGTCGAAAATATCACTTTTTATCAAAAATTACAAAAATATTCACCAAAATTAGAGAATTAAAGATATCATTAAAAAATGAACAAATCTGGGAGAGGTCCACATGTAGTACCTATATATGTAATATCAAAGCAATTGGACTTGCGGTTTTCAACAAGAAGTTGAAAATATCACTTTTTACCAAAAATTACAAAAATATTCACCAAAATTAGAGAATTGACGATATCATCATGAAATGAACAAACCTAAGAGAGGTTTACCCAAGGTACATATACACCAAGTATCGAAGCATTCAGGCTTGTAGTTTTCAAGAAGAAGTTGAAAAAGTAAAACATTGACACCGTCACACGGTCGACGGTCGACAGACGACGAACAATCACTCAAGTTGACAGCAGAGGTGAAAATAATACGAATAGGAATTTATTTATGGAAGATAATACATGTAGGTCAAATTCGTGAACGAATGTGTTTCGTTTCACCTGGGTCTGAGATGATGCAAGGACAATCAACATAAATATTATTTGAATATACATGTAATCTCAGACAATTATTACAGTTCTCTTAGTTGTCTGAAGTAGAAAGTGATTGCCCAGAGACCAGAGATTTATTCTACGCAACATAATTTATGTCTGAATATATTTATTGAACATTGCAGCATAGATCGTGTCACTTTAGTATGAACTGTGCATACTCGTATACCCGATTTGAATTTGGATTCCAACAAGCTGCCTCGTCACCAGAAATGAATTGTTTATTTCACTTTACACAGCTCAGATCAGTAACTATACACATAAACATAAGATTATCTACATTTTAATGAACGATTGACAGTTGCTGTCGTTGAATAATCAGTCAAATTTAGGCGAGGGTTCTCCGAACCCGCCTATTCACATAGTTCATACCCACCATAGACTCCGGTCAGTCAAAATGATTATTTTGAACTGTAGGCATTAATCAGCGATTCTGCCGGTGACGGAGAGATAGAATCCAGGTCAGGGGAAGCCCCATGACCTCAAGATTCTTTTACCCCTTACGTCACGAACCCACGTGACCGAGGCCACCTGGCAACGCCACAGGTAGCCGTCCATCACTCTGGTTCCTTTCTCTCTGCCTCGAGGACTTAGACCAACGCGACGGAAGAGTGGGGAGGTTGGGGGG